GTCTCTTCTTTGTTTTTACTGGAGCGGTATGGGGGGTTTGTTTGTATTTTGCTTTATGGCAAACAATATTAGAGCCCATATGTCGTTTAACTACAGAACTGCCAAATTTGATAATATATGCAGAGATTTGGATGAGAAATGTTAAATTTAACAACTGATTGAAATGAGTAAGTGTTACCTTTAACATGCTTCATGATACATCGTCTAATCTTAATTGAAAATACTAACACGGTATTAATTTTATACCTTGGAAGTGTATTAAGGATATATAGGATTTTAAGCTTGAGGTGAAAAATACCTGAAGTCCTCTGCTGAAAATACTGACTGTGATGGAAGTCATATAGGAGTGGTCCTTGCCATGAGTCAGTGCAGTGATTATAATGTTAAGCATTTTCTGCTTATTTACTCTTTCTTATAGTTGGAAAATTATGAAGGCTTCAAAATGTGTCACTGTCCAGTGGAATTGTTAAAATATCATAAGAACCTCTGTTTTGCTTGAAATCCCTGGCATTTTTGTGGTGATATTGTAAAGAAAAGGAATTTAAGAATTGCTTTATAACTATCTCTGTTCTTTTTAGTTTGCAGACAGAACTAATCCAATGGACAAGCATTTGGAAATTATGATAAATAAATACGGCTTAGCAAGTGCACCAGTGGCACCTCAGATGTTTGCAAGTGCTGGCAAAGAACATATGGAGAAATATGGTATGCTAAAATACATTTTTCATTGTCTTCTTTTAATGAAGTGATTTAAATGTGTATTAGGATTTTGTTTTTAAAAAAATTCTAGCATTCAATGTCCTTTCCTTTTTTACCCAAGTACTACAGCAGCAACATCTAACACATACGGGAATACATTTGGATAAAGAGTTATCTACAGAAAAGTTGGTGATGTGTAGGCAAACAAGACTGTCAGGAGACAAAATTAAGGCTGTTTGTACATGCAGAGTGTCTGGTAATCATGCTAGTAGTATGGTTTTTGCTTCTGTAAGGTCTGGGCAATAAGGTTGCATAACTTCCTGCATTTTTTCCTTGTGTCTTACGATGGGTAGATAGGCTTGGGACTGAGTTGTTTGACAAAAGCTTTCGGGTATTTAATTCAATATATAGTACTAGGCTGCTGCCACTGCCGTTTCTGCCCTCACCAGGTGAGGGAATTGGCTCCAAGGTAACAGGCCAGCATGTTGAGTGTCTTTTATTTGCACTTAGTTTTAGACTACTAGATGGAAAAATTTTAGACTTAGACTCCAATATTTCACTACAGCTATTTGGCACTGATGGGATAATGAGCATTCAAGTTTCAGTAATATGAAAATACCTCAAATGCACTTATTTTCTCTATTTTTGTGTCAGTAAGTGTTTTATATCGAAGTAGGATGTTCTGTTAGCTAAAACTCAAACCATGTTTAGTAGTCTTTATCTAATTTTTAGATCTAAGTTGAGTTCTAAGGAGAGCCTTGATAAGTGAGTCTTTTGTAAGGGTGCTTGTAAAGATCAAATTCTTATGACACAATATTTAAACTGCTACATTAGCACTGTCTGGGTAAAGAGAGTATTTCAACACAGCTTTCTTTGCCCTTCCAGGGACAAATCCAGAATACTTTGCAAAAATTGCATGGAAGAATCATAGCCATTCAACTAACAACCCGTGAGTAGTGTACTCTACCTCTGTATTGAACATATGTTGCTGTTACAAAATTCATGCAAAACTGAGTTGTTATTTTTAGAAATACTTTGCAGAGTGTATTCTTTATTATGGAATGAGAATTATACCCGGCATAAATTCTATATCCAGTGCCTTATACTTCATAAAAACAGCTCTATAGATGCCTAACAGTGTGATGTTAGTATGTCTACTGTTAAGGGCTGTACTAAAACTAAGGTAGTATCTGTATGTTTTCCTTAGGTATTCCCAGTTCCAAAAGGAGTACACATTAGATGAAGTTCTGCATTCTCGCAAAATTTTTGATTACTTGACTGTCTTACAGTGTTGGTAAGGAGATGACTTAGCATTGTGAAATAAATCTTGATGTTAAGACAAATATGGTAGGACATCTATTTACATTAACAGCCTGTTTGCATGTAAATTAAAATTTACGTATTATATTAAGTAAAACTTCTTATAAATAAAACAAATGTGGAATCTCTGTCTTGACCAAATACTGTCTAGATACTTGTTCACAGTATGATACAGTAAGCTTAAATACATTTTGTACTTTGGGGTTCTCACGGCATTCTGTATCTTTTAGCAGTGTGCATCCTTTGCTGTTAATTCTTCAGCCTTTCCTATGCACTCCTGAAAGGCTGCTTGTTAACAATGTTTATAGCCAAGTAGAAGCTTTTATTTTTTCTAAACTGAAAAACCTTAATGATACTTTTTTTTTTGATGTCATGCTTTTCAGATGTCTGTTATAAATATTACTCAAAGTGTCCAGCAAACACTGATGGAATTTATAGTTTCATTGGCGTCAGCCAAAGAAAGTGGGTTTACGTTTGTCCTTTTTGGTTTTGTCCTTTTTTGTATTAAAAGATAATTCTGTGGAGGATTGACATTACTAATTTAGAATTATTACATAATTATTTTTCTTTCAATCAGTCCAACATCAAATGGAGCCGCAGCTGCTATTTTGGCTAGTGAGGAGTTTGTGAAAAGGCATAAATTGCAGCCAAAAGCCGTGGAAATTCTAGCCCAGGTGATGGCAACTGATTACCCAAGCACGTTTGAAGAAAACAGCTGTATGAAGATGGTAGGTTTACAATTCCGTATTCCCTGATGCTCCTCAGGGTTTTCTTTTAAATACCTGCAAGTTCTAATGATACTGTAGACATTTCCATGTAATTAAGCAAACAAATTATGCTTTGTGGTGAATGTAAAAATAATTTTATTTAGACAAGTAAGTAAGCAAAGAATAACAGTAAGAAATTTATAAACAAGCTATCAAAAACCTAGTTCTTAACAAATTATTTCAAGTCTCCTTTTTATTTGAACAGCAAGAAACAAATTTCTTTATTGTTTCCATTTATAATAATAAAACTTAAAACAATTTTACTTATGTCTGTGTAAAACCGAAGCTGAAATAACCTGTTCGGTATAGTAATGATTACTTGCTTGAGTAGAACTGCAAAATTTGGGTCCCACAGTGAATTGACTAAAATAATTGGATGTAAGTCAAACCATTAGAACACCCAATAGTTCCTATTCTAGTTATGTTCTGTTTGGGTTTCAAATACAATTCTAGTGAGATGGCTGATAGAAAAAGGTAATAAGACAATTTGAGGATTTGTTTCAAGGCTGTTGGTCAGAGTCATGCAAAGGAGCAATTTGGCTTGTGAGCAAGGTTGAGAAAATAGAGGATGTTCCCCAGAAAAGTTTCCACATGCCAGCAATAAGGCTTAGCGTGAATTATTTCTTTCTATACAATTCACACTGTCTGAATATTAAACGCTGTGGTATGTGATGCATTAAAATAAGTTAGAATGCCACCTCCTACAGGTTACTTTCACGTAAAGGATATCTAGAAGCATGTTTAAAATCAAGTGTAGAAATGAAATTACTAGCTATGTTTCTTTAATGGTATTTTAACTTACAATTTCTTCTTGTTGCAGGTTGGCTATGATATGACTAAAAAAGCTGCAGAAAAATGTTTTGAAAAAGCAGGCCTAAAACCTACAGATGTTGATGTGATCGAACTTCATGACTGTTTCTCAGTTAATGAGTTCATTACCTACGAGGCTCTGGGACTCTGTCCAGAAGGTAATGTATCAATGGAGAGAATTGCTTTATTAAAATGGAAAGCATTAAAAATATCTTTTTATCTGTTCATATAATTAAAACTTTGAGTTGTCTCTGTTTGACAGATCTTTTATATTTGAAAGTTTGACTAGCTAACCTCATAAGACAGAAAAGCAAGTTACCGCTCTAGTAACATAAGGAAGAGCTGCAAACTCTAGAATTAGTTTAACAAATGAATGTGTTACTGTGATCTCTAAACAAATGCACAAGGCAAATTAAAATGTTGGACAACAATGTGAAATCATGTGTCTAGCTTGTGCGGGAATGGCTCTTGTAAGCAAGCAGAGCAAGGAAATTAAGTACTCTTGTGATCTTTCTATTATGCCCTTTTTCAGGGCTATATACTTACCTATCCCAAGATTTCCCTCCATCTTTATATTTTCTTTTAAGAAGATAAAAGTCTGACAAGAATTGCCTGTCAAGAGCCTTACCAAGTTACTTATCTTTGATATGACTTTTTTTTGAAATCTTGAACCATCTTTGCCTATGAACATAGAATTGTTGGCAAGTTGTGGACGTGCCTCTAAAGTCAGCTGTATAACAATGCAGTCTGTCCAGATCAGTGTAATTTTATTACACTTATTTATTTTATCAGTGTATATTTATTTAATTTTATTTACAGCAGGTACTGGAGTTCAGTTCTATGGATGTAAGTCAGACCACTAAAATTTTCTACTGAAGAGGTTTTTGTTTGATTTCAAATAAATAATGCATTGAACGTCTGCTTCAGTATTTGATATATTTAAGCTCTAAATGTATTCTTGCTTTGCATAAATGATTATGTGTTGTAACCTTTCTTCAACTAATTTTGAGAAAATACCACACTCTGTCACTAGATGGTGTACTGTATTCAGTCTAAATTTTGTCACTGAAACAGGTTCATAGATCTTCAGGAAGGTTTTTTATGTGTTTGTACGTCTTCTAATATTTGCCTTTGAATGCTTCCTTTTTACTGTCTTTGCTGTGTTTTTATGGTATCTGCAGTAAAAATGGTAAATGTTTGACTTTATTTAAATAGGTATATTAAGCTCTTTAGCTTCATTCCTTTAATAGTAGTAACAGAAGAATCCTGGTGGTACTTGTCTATTTGACCAATAAGTCTTGTGTATATTTAATAGTAATTTAATAGTGCAAATCTCACCACCTTTCAGTCAGTCTGACCTTACTAGTATGTGAAACTTACCTGGGAATGGTAGACTAATTAGACAAAGAGATTAGTGAATTGTGGATTTAGATGTGCAAGACTAGCCTGGTATTCTCATTTAATGGAGAAGTAAGTTATAAATACAGGAATTGTGGCAGATCTTTTTTAGACTGCAACATTAATAACGTAGGCTGAAAAGCTGGTACAAGAATGAAGAGTAAGGAGCGGGTTAAAAGGGAGAACTGTCTGCTGAAGGCATAAGCTAAGCAAGTCTAAGCATTAGTCTTATGAATGGTTTTATTTGCTATCTTAATGCAGCCCAGGATACCATTAACCTTCTTGTTGGCAAGGGCTCATGTTCGACTTGGTGTTCACTAGGACCTCTACATCCTGGGGGCCACAAATTACAGTTACAAAAACCACAGTTATCACTGCAGGTTCATTAGTGAAATAATGAACAGCTTCATTGTATTGATTTTATCATAATACTGTATATCAACAAAACAGTTCAACAGAGATTTAAAAAAGCTTTTGTATCAGACACTAGCCCTTTTACTTCTTTTCTGTGTTACGCTTTCTCCAGTGGTGTAAGCAAGTCTCTTCAATGTAGTTTGTCTCATTTCAGTCTGCTCTTTATAAAATCCATGGTGTAGTATTTCCTAGGTTGTGACTAACAGGCAGCATCTTTGGTAAGTGACAGTAGAACTGAAAGATCACTTAAGTAAGGAACATTTTTCTTTTATAAATACTGTTTAATAGGAAGAGCATGTGACCTGATTGACAGAGGAGACAATACTTATGGAGGAAAATGGGTTATCAATCCTAGTGGCGGCTTGATTTCAAAGGGACATCCACTTGGTGCTACAGGTATGCAAAACCATTTCCTTTAGTCATGACAGACATGAGATACAGCTCTTGAGCAGGCAGATGCTTCCCACTTGTATTCGTCTTTATGAAACATGAAGGGCTTCATAAGTCCAGAAGACAACTCTGGAGTCAATTCTCATTTCCAGCTAATGTAATCATTAGTGCAGTCATGTAGGATTTCTCAAACCAAAAGACTTGTGAGTGTGAATTTGATCATTTGCACTTATTTAATTTTATGGTGCTTTTTTTTCTGTTGTTGTTAAAGCAACCTGCAAAACAGGTTTTTTTTCTAAATAATTGCTCAATAGTACAACTTCTGCTGCATGTAGTTTGAATAACTATTTTCATATGTTGTCATCTTTCAAAATTCAGATTTTGGAGACTTTTACTGCATCTGAATAGTCTGTACCCTTGTTAGCTGTAAAAAATGCTATTTCTGGTAAGCCTTGGATGTCAAAATATTTATCTGATGTTTACAGCAGAAGCTCCGTTAGTCACCGTTTCCCAGCAACATAGGTTTTCCCTTTTTTGTTTTGTTTTTTGTTTTCTTTTAAACTGCTACATTTGCTTCCAAATGAGATGGCTCTTGGATAAAATGTGTTTGGATTTGTGACAATTATTCACCTTCTTTGTTTGGCAATGAGAAGTTGTCAGAAAACTCCAGAAGAGGAAACCTTGTAAAACAACAAACCTTCATCGGAACAGCTGTAACAGCTAGATAATCTGCAGTTAGTGTAGGGGGGGGAAGTGTTGCAAACTTTGGAAGAAAAACATTCCAGGTAAATGAGACTGTGGGTATCTGTTACAGGATGAGAGCATTACATTGCTAGGTTTGTGTTAAATTTTTGTTGGTTACACAGTGATAAATGTAGAGGCAATTACTGGTATTCCTGCCTCCCTCTGTTGCCATGGGATGGGGGGCAGAGTCGTTAAAATGCAGAAAATGCCATGTCTACAGGCTGTGGGTTTAATTTCAGTATAAAGCAGCCTGGAGGCCAGCTATATGCTAATCAGAGGTCATGTCAGTCATCTGAAATTTCCAAACCATTCCAGGGCAGGTTGTACAGCAGTACATGTTCTCTCCTTGAGGCTGAGAATGGAATCTCTTAATTCTTGTCTGTGGCTGGAATGATAAAACTTCTTACTCATCCCTTTCGTGGTGTTTCAGTTGGCAGTGAGTAAAATTCAGTGCATAAAATTCTCCTCTGCCTTGCCCAAAGGCCTACACAGTTGTCCAGGGGAAGGGAGAGGAAGGGATGGAGGTCTGTGGATGATGGAGGGAGGACGTGTGTGCGGTGGAACTGGATAATGCAGAGAGAGCTGATAACAGAGAGGGGGACGGAGGGTACAGTGGTTAGGGTTAGGGTTAGGGTTCATTTTGGGCCTCCCCAAAAAATATATTTCTGTAAATCTGAGCTGTCAGGTATTAACTTTCTCAGATCCTATTGCACGTATTAATGTTTTCCTGGGAAAAGAGGTTTATGGAAATGCCTGTAGTAGATGTCTGCCCCCATTCGAGCCGCTGAGCTCTGTGCTCGATTTTTCAGGCCTGGCGCAGTGCGCTGAACTCTGCTGGCAGCTGCGCGGCCTGGCCGGGAAGAGGCAGGTCCCCGGGGCAAAGGTCGCGCTGCAGCACAACC